CATCGGCTGCATCCCCGCCGCGAGCGCCTAGGTGAGACACGTACCGATGGGCAATGGCGAACAGGATCGCCTCCTGCATCGCTCCTGCGATTGTCTACTCGTTGGTTGGCGCCTCTGCAGACGAGAGGCTCGGCGTGTGCGGCAAGCTCGCAGCCGGCGAGGCGGGCGGGTCCTGCTTCGGGTGGGAGGCGTGGAAGGGCTTGGTCGCCTCGAGCCGCGCCAGCTGCTCCACGGTCGCCTTTGGCTGGTGCGCCGCCTTCCACTCCGCGTAGGGCATGCCGTACACCCTTTCGCACGCCTGCGAGGGGCGAGCGGCGTGCGGGCCAGGGTGTCTCGGGGCGGCGGCGGAGGTGGCGGTGGAGGTGGCGATGGCCGCGGGCTGGATTGGCGGGCGGCCTGGTCGTATGTGATGTGGAGCCCGGAGCGCCACGCGCCAGCGAGGTACCACTTTGCGAGACAGTTGCGGCAGAAGCCGCCGAGGATCATCAGCTCGATGTTGGGCACGTCTAGCCGCCCCCGGAGGTGCGTCACGAGGGACGAGAATGCGGCCGCCTCCGCGGCCTGCTGCTGCGTGGTGGTGTAATTTGGAGAATATGGCGTCGCCTCGGACGACAAGCGGAAGGGTTTGGGCTGCCGGTTCGTCATCGCGGCTGGTTCAGAGGGGGGGCGCGCTCGCGCGAGCTCAGCCGTGGGTGTCCAAGGTCCCCGCTTTCTTTTTATTTTATTAGTTCGCACCTGTGTCGAGCCTGTCTGCTGTGAGAGAGAGTTGTTTTGTCTAAATTCTTTTTATTTTTATGAGCTTAGCCTTCGATGTTATGAAAACACGCAAGGCGGACATGGCATATCGCTCTCGGGCTCACAGACATCCCTCACACCCGCCGCCCCCGCGCGCGCCCCACCCCGGCCGGGAGAAAGGGGAGTGACAGTTTGGGATGGCAACAGCCCGAGTATGTTGAGTCCTGGCTCAACAACGCAGAGAACAAGAGGGGGTGGTCCGGCTCACAAGTCCGGCTCACGCGCCTCGAGCTGACCCTCTACCGCACTGATCACTTCCGCCCCCTCGCTCCCAACCCATCCACCCCGCCCCGGGCCGCGCCGCGCGATCTCGGGCGATCTCGCGCTATCTCGGGCGATCTCGGGACCGCGCCGCGCTATCTCGGGCGT